GGAACGGGGAGGCGGAGGAGGAGGAGGAGCCGAGTGCCTGCAGCGCGAAATGTTGCACCATGCAGGCAAGGAATCCTCCACACATGCTTGTACTGACTCGGATTTCACATAGCTCCGGGCTAATAAAAAAGATGCTTTATTTCGGCAGGAGTAAATGTCCGAACAAATTTGAGCTGCAATGAGCGCAGCCATAAAGAGTCGGTCACTGAGATTACTTGGCAGCAGATTTGTGGCATCAGCCGGGGCTCATTAGACCACATGAGATACAGAGATATAGTTATATCCACGCGAAATTCTGCAGAAGCAACCAGCACAAGATACAGATACATGTGCAGGGCAGGCAGATCGACCTTGAAAATGCAAACTATGCCGGCTGAAGAAGGCGCTACCCAAGTGGTGGAGCCGAGGGGCGCTGGGAGTACCAGGTCCTATAATCTCTGTTCGCGGACCCAGATCGCAAAACGAGTTTCGCTGCATCTGTGTGCGGAGCGTATCTAACAGACACATCCGCATCTGTATGCTGTATCTGTATCTGTATCTGCACAGGCACTCGCGCAGCGATACATGGGAAAGTCAAAGCGAAGAACCGCAAAGCGAAACTCGGTCTTTGTGCCAATAGAACTTAGAATGCGGTAGGACGAAGATGGGAATGGGATGGCGAGGAACGATGATGACAGGCCCTGCAAGTTGTTATGCTCCTCGGAGGAAAGATACTTTGCTCGTTTTGTTGACTCTGGTTTGTGGGGCACTGCGCGAAACGCTCCCCTACTCAAAGATACACAATTGCAAACTTCGAAATGGAGGATATTTGAACTATTAAAACTTCGCCTGTTGTCTGGTAAAAATAATTCATTTTTAAGTTTGCCAAATATTCAAGATAGTTTTTTATGATAGTTTTTTATCGCAGTGCACATCCGACTTTGCCCCACTCCACAATTGGGCCATTGTGGGAAATGGGAGCAAGTTATGCCTCTAAACTCGTTCACATATGCTTTTTCCTTATTTATTTTTTTATTAGTTTTTTTGGTTTAGTTTTGGGATTTGTTATGGTGGCAAGTCTGTGTGGGGGCGGCGATATGCAAGATTTGATTTTGACTCCACATGAGAAATGGATACTCGCTCGTTTGCTCAGGCAAAATTTAATTAACTTCATTCATTTGCTCGCCAACTTGACACATTTCAAATTTAAGGCTTTGTCCTTCAAAAAAGGCATACATAGATCATGAGTACGATATATATTACAAGAGTATGAATTTCTATTAAACCATTTCCATTACTACCTTTTGAAAAAAAGGATGCCCATGTTACATTTTTATAAAAAGCATCTACAAGCACAATTCTATTAGTTCAACGTATTTCTCAGATAAACTGGGAATTTTTTAACCAATTTTCTGTATGAACATAAAGTTGTAGATACTTTGCGCAAAGTTGATTCCAGAGAAGGGCAGAGACATTTCAAAGGAGCTTCGCAGGTAAAGTAATCAGGCACTTATCTGTAAATCTGAATTCCTTGAACCAATGAAACCCCAACTATGCATTATTGCCACTGGCAAATCGGGCCATTACATCCTGGCCAGCGAAGCTGCCAAAGAACGCCATGCAGTCGTTGTGGGAATGACAATACTGGGCTTCATAAAGATGAGCGTTTTATGCATCCTTAACTTACACTCTATTTTAATTGCCGCGCGATCCTGAGCAGGCCTAAGCCCAGATTGCCAAGTCCCATCCGATCTCGGGTGCAATTAAACGAGGGGCAGGAGACAGAAAGGGCAGGGGCGTTGGCTGTGTGGGGCATCAGAGGGGTGCGCTGGCAAAAGCAAATTTACGTCCCCTGTCAAGAGGCAGCGACGTAGCGTATTTAATATTTTTCAGCGTGCTTTACCTTTTCATGTTGTGTCATCATCAGCTTCAGCTTCAGATACAGCTTCAACTTCAGCTTCAGCATTCAGGCACTGAGCCAGCACACAGATACTCGATCCCTACAGCGATCCCGATCCCGATCCCGATCCCAAGCCCATCCTGTTCCGCCACAAATTTGTACGCTCAACTACAAACTAAAAAGTCTTAAAGTCTTAAAAGCATTTGCGGCCAAAAGGCAGCGGCGACGGCAAAAAGTAAACACAATAAAGGCAAAAAAATTGCGAGTGAGCAAAACAAATAAAAATCGAAGCTGAGCGAAAGAGACGCGAAACAAAATGCTGACCACTGTCCATGGGCGTGGGGGGTGCGAGGGGGGTTTTGGGGGCTATCCCCACGTTGTTTTGTATCTGTGCTGCTCATTTGCACTTGGAATACAAAAGATACATTTTCGTAAGACCATTTTGACATGACAAGATAACGACAAGCAATCCGACCGAGCGACTCACCAGTTGGAGCCTCCCAAGGGGCACCGGAGCGGGGGCTCCACAGCCAGGGGACACCCTGTACCGCTCATTGGCTCCTGGCCCTGCCCTCCCCTCCCCTCCCCACTACTTCCACCCCGCCCGACCGTCCAAGCAGTCCAAGCAAACCAAACCGACTTTTGGCTGAGTGTTTCGTATTTTAATTTTCATTACGGCCACTTCGGCTGGCCTCCCAGCACTGAGAGAAATGCAAGCTGACTTAAAGTCCATTTTAAATGTTGCTAAATATGAAAAGCAAATTACAATAAAACAGATATACTTTTTACTGGGCGTAAAAAAAAGACAACCATTGGACTTTTTTGCTTGATGAAACTCTATTATAAGTCCGCATTACCCAACCATTACCCAATTATTTTAGTCTATTATAACATAGGTACATTTGGTGCGTTTGCTATAATTAACAAATATTTTTTTAAATTTATTTTAACTGTTTGGATCCGCATTGAGTTATGTAGGAAAATGAAAGTGGCAGATGAAAAGTTTTGTTGACAAAGATACTCGATTAAATTCGAAACTGAAAGCACCTGCTCCCTTTAAAGAGTTAAACCAAAAAATAAGTTTGTCTACTTACTGCGAATTTCTCCCAGTGCGCTTTGCACTCTCCGCCGCCACCTTTTGTGCACTAAAGGTTCTTGAAAAGCTGCGCCAGCGACGACAGCAGCGAAGTTCGCGCAGGCAGCTCAAAAGTGAGTATTTCCAAGAAATTGCAAATTATTTTTGAGCCGAGCGCCTGCGCCTGCTCCCCCGGCCCTCAAGCCCGATCTCCTGGAGCTGGAGCTGGAGGTGGAGCTGGAGCTGGAGCCAGAGGCCAATACGAGGTACCAGGTCTCAGTTGCGCGGCAGAAGCCGCCGCCAAAATGAGTTAGCATCCCAAAAAGCCAACCGGCTGGCTCTCGTGTCTGCGGAGGACCCTTCGATCTCCTCCTCGCCGAGTGCTCCGACTACTACTACTACTTCAGCCCATTGACACCCTCGTGCCGCGATCCTCTGCTCCTCAGGTGACTCGCTGTCCAGCCATCTCGGCCATCAAGTGTCCCAACTCCATATGCTCCTTTCTCGCTCCCTCCATAAAGTCGTGTTTATGCCTTCTCATAAACATTTTTATTTTAATGATTTTTATTATTGCGCACATTCGTTACTTTTTATACAACCCCGGCGAGGATCACTGCTGCATCTTCGCGCTCCACGCTGGCGTATCGAATTTGATTCGACCGCCATGTCCCCGCAATTGAGTCCTGATCTCCGCCGGCTAAGTAGTTGCGCCTGTACCTGCTGCCCACCTATACAAACACGCATAAATTTATATGTTTACTTATCCCTGAAACCAAACGCATCTCTGCCTCTTGGTTGGGAGTCCGTTTTTCAAGGATTTTGTTAGGGAATGGTACTGCACAGACACAAACTCGTAACTTTCATGAATACAGAGGGAGTAAATGTGTCCTTGCTTCTTTAAAAACACAAACAAATCTGTATCTCAATAATTGAATATTTAGATACATTTTTCAGACTGCACTTAAAATTGTTTTCTCAGCAAATAAATCCTTGAATCCACTTGATTTAAGGATATCCTTCGCTGCAGTAATTTGTGTTGCCCATGTAGATCCGCCAGCATTGACAGACATCCATGGCGACACCTTTCATACCTCCATGCGGCAGGGATCGGGATCTGGATAATTTGATGGCCGACTCGGGACGGTCGCCGCATTTGCAAGCAATAAAAATTAATTTACGTTCGATTGCAAGGTTTTCGCGACCGGAACGAGAGTGAGGACGCCACCGCCACCGCCACCGCCGCCTCCGTCGATGACACATAAAATGCCACGTTTACGGCTCCTTAAGACGCGACGTGGGCTCTTCACTTTCTGCCAACATAAAAAATGTTAGCATCGAAAAATGGCGATTTTTTAGTGGATCAGGGAATGGGGCAAGCCATCGCAACCTCTCAAAGGTGCGCACTACTTACCTAAAACCGAGAGTAAACAGCGCAGTTGGCCATTTGGATTTGATGCCCCTGGCTTATCCCCCTTGTGGGCTTGTGGGCTTGGGGATCGGAGAGCCTTTCCAGGAATCGGAAACTGGACAGGTCTGCGCCGCGGCACTTCCACATGGAGCCTCAGGGCTTTGATGTTGGGGCCGTTTGCCTGCCAGAAACTAATATCCCTTTCGAAACTGATATGATTTCGACATGGCAAGGGTATTGGGAACAGGCGTACGGCCAAAGCTTATGTGGTTCATTAAATCTATTTAGCCCATTTTATGTTTGCCTGATAGCTGATAGCTTTTTATAAAGCATAATTAAACTTTAGTAATGTTAAGCAGAACCACAATGCTAAATTTAGGACTTCCATATAAGCAGAGCTATTTTTTAAGAAACAATTTTGTGTTTCTAGTCTTAATGGTTTGAAAATGTCTTCTGTGTGCTATATCATATTCATACATTAACTATTTTGTATAGCAGCTCCTAAGTTGATGTAGATCTGCTTATCTAACATGATTATAAGCACAGCAATTCCTCACAAGTTTTTGAAATAATCATACATCATACACTTTATAACATGCATACACTTTAAGAAAATTATTTTACAGAGGAACACAGAATACCGTAGTACATAATTTATTTGAATTAACAATGTGTCAGATGCCTAGATTTAAATTAATATATATTTATTTAGGGTAGGGCGCTTTGAAGTAGCCCAAAGCGTTTTTGGCTGGACCTAAGTATCCCTTCGCAAAGCGGAGTCGGTCATCTAGCGGCGACTATTCTTCTCCAAGCGCGCCACCGTGCGCCGCAGCTCAACGAGCTCCGCCTGTAGGCGATCCACGGAGTCGGCTTGAACTGCGCTGACAGCGGTGGGAGGGGCGGAAGGAGCGGGAGCGAGAGCTGAAGGATTCACCACGGCGGGCGGAACTGCGCGAGTAAAAGGAACCGAACCCTCCACGCTGGCGATGGAGAAGTCCGGATGGATTTGAGGAGTGGTCACATGGCCTGTGGCCACGGAAGTGCTGGCAGGCGTTGAGGCGGAGGCCACTGGCCGTGACGCCACTACCGAGGAATGCGCCACAAAGCCCGAGGGCGGACCTGCCTTATGGTTGGCTATCAACTTCTGCAACTTGGAGACGGCGCTGTCGCGCTGCGACTCCAGCAGCAGGCGCATGGCCTCCTGGTCGCCGGATCTGGCCTTCTCCAGCGAATCGGAGCCCTCGTCGATGAGCACATAGTTGATGACATGGGCATGGGTGCCCGGCTTTATCCGGTATATGAGCTGTCCACCATCACCGCCGCTCATTTTCGAGAGCGCCGGTATGTCGCCCATCTTGGCCATCTCGCCGCCCACTTGAAAGATCGATGTGTGCCCATTGACGACCAGTGGCTTGGGCATTATGTACGGTGCGGACACGAACTGGGAGCACTTCCTCTTCGTCTTCTCCACCACGGTGGCCACTTTGCAGCCCGCGGTGCTGCAGGCGCGCAATGGGAGCAGGGCATCCCCGCCAGAAGCCGCATTGTTTTGCTGCATTGCCACGGTTCCACGACGACTGGTTATGATGTGCTTGCTCTTCTGCAATTCGCCCACACTTTTCGGGCACGCGCAAGCTCCTTATTCGGCTATTTTTCTTGTTTTGCTGATTTAAAAATCGAATCAATGATAAAAATAATCAGCGTCCTCTTCTTTTTTGTAATGTGAACAACGCGTTAGCGAATTGCAGGCATCTGAAAATACCTTGAAAAATACCACAAAATACCAGAGTGCCGTTGCGCATGTTGATAGACCGATAACCACAAGGCGCGGAATTTGAAAATTGTTTGGAGATTATGATTCTCATAGTTCTGCCTTCTTTTATTAAATCATATTGGGTGTTAGTTAAAAAAAATTAGTAAATAAATACTAGAATTAACACTACAATGTAGTGTCTTCATCATTATTGTTCGTGGTCATCAATATTTGGCCTAGTACCGAATAATCTAGAAAATCGCGTCACTCCCAACTTATAATTTGGTGTATATGTTTAAACACACATGTTTTAAAACTAAACTTGAAGCTCGCAACTAAGTATCTGTATGACACGTGCGTTCTAGCCCAATGGGACAACTAAGTGTGGTGTCTTCTTGATACATTAAGCTCTCCCAAAGAGAGATAATAAGTAATTTGCATACAAAATCGAGGTGAGAGCATTCAGGTGTCTGGGAAATGGCGCGTGGGTGCAACGACCACAGCGGTGACCTCGAAACGGGGCAAATGGAGCTGGACGGCGGATCGGATGATGGGTGGAGTGGAGTAAAAGAGGTGGAGTTGCACCCGCTTCATTTACATTCCAAGTACTTTAAAAGCGGACGCTGGTCGTTAAAAGATGCTGCTCGGATCGGACATTGAGCAGCGGGTTTTAGTACTGAAACTGCGACCGGACCGGCCACGACCGGACTGGACCGGACTGGACAGTTGCAGCCGCCAGCTTCTTTAATTTCCACTCGTCAATCATCCATCTCGACGAACTTGGCCGGCACTCAGAGTTGCAGCCTCATTGTTGGCTCAAATGAAATAATTACTTTAGCACACAGCGACGGACTGAGTCCGTCTGGAAATGGAATGGAATGGGCCAACTGGGACCAGGCCAGGCCAGGCCCTTCGTGCATATGCATCCTTAGTCATGGCCAATATATCGACTCGCATTAAACACGACAACAACTGCAGTCGGCAAAAGGCAGTGCAATAAAATCCTCCAACACGTCTCGTCCCGAGTCCGGGAATAATAAGAAATGAAATGCCATTTATTAAGCATTAATAAGTGCAGGCGTCCATGTCCATCCATCCGCCATCCGCCATCCTCGATCTGCATCGCCATCTCCATCTCCACTCGCCCAAATGCGCGAGGAGCACTCCCATCTGACTCAGCATGCGATGCCTGTGGGCATCCCGACGCTTTCCTGCCCCCCATCCATCCCATGGCCACTTGGTTGGCGATGTGCTCGCATGCAGCCTCCATTTTGGCCATAAAGTCAACTCAGGGGGTGGCGGAGTTCGGATCAAAACGCAACTCAAACCAAGTCTGTACTTTCTAGCAAATCTTTATAAATGTGGGCCATCCTTTTGAGCTTCCCAGATTCCGGAACCCATTTTTACTTATTTCAAAGGCTCATTCTAAGTGCCCGAAACACAACTTATAAAGAGTTCATATATTAAATAATATATTATTTTATTTAATAATATGAATTAATATTAACAATATTATTGCACTTAATTGCTACAGAATATCCCTTGTAACTGCGCAGTGGTACATAAATAATATATAACAATATATAAACATATTGTTTGCACATTGAGCAAAAGTTTGTGCCCTTTGATGGCCGTGACTAATCAGAATTCAAGCCGGGTACCTGGTGCCTTGGACATAAAAAACTGCACACAAAGGACCGTCGGCACCTGCAGGGTTAACTTAATTAAATTCCATTGCGTTTTGGCGCAGAAATGTGAGCAACATGATGCAATTATGAATTATAAAATTAATATAAAGCGCACTTAACATGCAGGACCGTCGACGGCAGCGGAAATATTTCGTCGAATCCAGCCCACAGGCCAATCCCCAAGCCCCAAGCCCCAAAACTCCGACCGCAGATTTCCCCACCCTGCACTCCTTGGCTCTTCTTTTGTCGTAGCTCGTTGGGTGTGGACCCTAAAATCTTAATTGCAGGGAAGGCTCAAAGTGCAGGAACTGGGGAGCTGCAAGTGCGGATGCGAGGAAGGCTCTTCTGTGAAGGCCACAAATTCTCTGGGCATTATACTTTTGAAATGTGCGCCAAAGCTGGTATTATAGTGTCGTTTTCGAGGGCTCCATTTTGTAATTAAAATTGCACTGTAACATTTACTAAGCTAAAAGCCCTGTCGCTATACTTACAATGTATCTAAACAGATGTTTAGATATAGATACCATTCAATTTTAAATATAAGGATTTACTATAGTATGGTGATATTTAAGAAGACGCTTCGAAATAGTTTGGCAAAAACACTGGCAAAATATTGATGTTTATCCAAGAGATAAATGTGCATTAATTTGATTAATAAGAAAAAATGTCATTTCTTTTTTGCCTGCTTAGTTCGCAGACTTTCTGCAATACAATTGTGGGGCCAAGTATTATTGGAAAAGTGGTTCCTGGACCCTTCCGCCTCCAATCCCCCACCGCATCCGTGCACTTGGACCCTCGTCAAGGCTGATCGATTTGGACAGTTCGCATTGGATGACGGTGGGGTTTTCGGCGAGTCATGCCCACTTTACACGGAATTTGGCGTAATAAGAGAGTATTAGTGCCTCGTGTGGGTGGGGCGTGGCGGGTCACTGAACCCTGCCCAAATTACCAGGCACTCTACCGCGCAGGTGACAACCCTGTGCAATTGCCACAATCCGTGAGATACACCAGAAAAATGCGCACCAGCATCTAATGGCATGTGAACATGTCTGGGACTTGTCTGCCTCGCCAAACAAGTTGCATCCCTTCCCTCTCTCATTTCGCCTTATCTTGCCTTACTTCATTTTCCAGTTCGAGTTTGTTCAAAATTGAATTCCACGACTGCGCTGGCCAGCACATGACATCCATTTGGACTTCAGCGACAGTAGCAACAACAGCAAGAAGCTTGGCAGCAGAACCAGTATGTATGGCATGTTTTTGGCCAGCTTAGCACTACTTGGTTGCGCTTAAAAATTCAAAGCATAGGGAAGTAACAGTTTGCTACCTAACAAAAGGGTTGAAGGTTTTTAATCAGTTCGGAAAAAACTTAAGTCCAATGCCCAAATAGGTAAAGATACTTTGGTCACTTTATAGTACAGTGCACTTTACATGCCATGTGGTACAAAGTAAAGGTAGTTCCTCCCTCCAAATGATGGCCAGTGTTATATCGGCATAGTGCCGAAAATCTCCGAAAATTTCGACACAGCCCTGTACTTGAGAACGATCAAGTGAGCGGCGAGCGGCGGCGGCGGCGGCGGCGGCCACTCGAGTCGCCTCCAGAGGCAGGACACTCGGCAGTTGTTGTTGCGCTCGTCTGGCAGACTGGAGGCAGACACAACAACGCCGCGGACGACGGACGACGGACGGCACTTCCAGCAGTGCGAACTCGAACTGCGCAGTGCGCATGCGCGGCGTGCATACACGAATGTGGCTTAGAGCCACACACAGATACTCACACTTGCACTTGGGGGAGAAATAATAAAAATAACACACAAAATAAGAAATAAATGGGGAAACATATAAGAAGCGATTGCGAAGAGGAGACCGAAATGCGAAAATGTTTCTGTAGCCTTGACTTTGAAATTCTCATTGCAAGAGCCGAAGAATGTACGCAAACATAGCCACATAAATATTTTCAGCTTGCCTTTATTTTCGATTTCCTGTGCGGCCTGCCATTTGGTTACTTAATGACTATCGCCACTCCTGTTCCTTGCAGATGAAACTAAGCCAAACGTCTTCAAACTGAGCCCAGAAGCCAGAAGGATTCGCGGCCCATAGCTCAGCTCCATCTGGGAGCCCACTGCAGCACCTTTGTACGCCGTGGGAATTGCGGAACCAACAGGTAGGAACGCTAATGATAAGTATCCTATGACTAGGCAATGATTTCATCTTCACCATTGTCCAATTTCAAATAAGTCAACTTGGAGCTATGCTAAGTGCAAGCTATGCTAACTGCAAAATAATAATTATATGTGTTTTTTTTTATTCTGAGGAGAGTTATCATATCGTATCATATCTTATCATATTTATTATTTTATTTATACGCAATATCCTATACAATTGGAGTATGTGTGAAGTCCAAATGTTTATAAAAATTCCAAAGCACTGTTTTACGAGGTATTCCCTGTTGCAAGTATGCATTTATGCCCCCGTTTCAAGTGCCCATAAATAAAGTTCGATAGAGCAAATACCCCCGCATTGCATCTGTGCCACACAAGTGGCCCAACCCGCACATCCTGGTCCAGGATGCGTCCGCCCACTGCCTAGTTGGCCCCATTAATCGTATTCAGCGCGACTATATCCCATATCCTGGCAGGATACAGCTGGCCCCCTGAAATACGCGCTGAATGGAATTTGAAAATCGATAAATGGCAATGGCGACGGAAATTGCTGTTCCATGGCGGTTGACACCGTGTTAATGGGCCACTTATAACGGCATTGTTAGCTCTGCTTGCACACGGATCTCATCCTCGGCCACTTAATGTGCATCTCCGTCATTCCCATTTCCAATCCCATTCCCATTCCCCGTCGGTTTTGGCCTTGTTAGCCCCGAAGTGTTGGAGCTGATGCAGCTGCTTCTGTTCCTGGCCAAAAACGAGGACACGTGCCCCGTTCCGAAGGCATGAATTATAAGGAATCGCAAGCACCTGAAAGGTGTTTCGTTCGCTCGGCTTGCTGCTAATTAAATTTAATTTAAAACAAAGCTCGGCATTTCGTCAACGCTCGCGATTCGAGGATACCCCGTGCCATCTCGTCCTCCATCTCCATCTCATAATTGACTGCTGCTGCTGGTGGTGGTAAAAAAAGGAAACAGAGTCTTAAATTACCGCAGGGAAAGTGTGGCAACACATCGAGTCCTTTTTTTGGCTCGATTAACTTAGATGCCGTAAAGAGTATTAGGCTGCAGCACTTTAATGCACTGCAAGAAAAGACATCACATATTCAACTAAAGATATAGGCAAACTGAAGAAAGAAGTAGGGTGGAATTACCGCTTTTTAAAGCTATAATGGAACCTTGCATCTATATACTGAACCACTATTAAGTTTAACTGCAATCTAAAAATGCATTAAAAATTTATATAAAATTTAAATGGTTTGAAAGCTTGTCTCTACTAAATGAAAATAGTTTTAAGAGCAGGTTCAGCCGCATTTAGTTGAAAAATGGTTTCGGGATATGAAGTTTTTCCCGGTGCATGGAGGAGTACGATGCCCGTGGGCCAAGGACCAAAGATCTTGGTGGATCCGGCGCCGAACCTTCCGCTAAGTACCGAGACATGTTATTGGCTTGTCTGCTTTTTGCCCTTGGTGTTTGTCCGTGCCCCATGTAGCGTATGTTCTGGATCCTCCTCCTCGGCCGCAGGACCAAGTCAAAGGAGCAAACGGCAGGAGCAGCTGGGTCAGTCGTAGTCGCTGTCTAAGCGAAGGCAGGTGGCTCGAGCCAATGCCGATTAAGGCCGCCGATCTCAGCGAATTGTCTAAAAAAGAGTTGAACGAAAACAAAGGAGTAGAAGGCTACAAAATATTTGAAAAGGGAGGACTATGGATTGTATGCTTACTCAATAAAACAAGGGCTACGTCCTAAATATTCATTGATCATTTGCTGCGCCAACAACCAATTAAAACCCAACTAAGATGTGCATATCCCAAGGCCATTCCATATGGTATTACCCCACCCTCGGCTACCTTCAATTGGAGTTCCAGTTAAGATGTATGTCTTGGGGCCATGTCTGGATCGTACACACACACGCACACACGCACACAGAACGAGGGCAGGTATTTGTTTACCGTTAGAGGGGGCAATCAAAACGGCTCTCCGCCCGAAAACTTCGCTGGATCCACTCCGAAACGAAGGTGCCCCACTTTGAAGGCCAGCGGCAGGAGATGGGCACCAAGCCTATGATTAAAATTTAGGTCCGATCTCATACATATACCTACATATACCTACATATGTACGAGTGTGTGGTGTTCTATATGGTGCATGTGCGTAATTGGCCGTCCCAAAATCCAGCGGTCGCGATCCTTCTCAAATTAGAGTATACTCCCCTCTTCGCTTTTCGGGGGGAAAGTTACCTGCGGCCACAGTTAGATCCAAAACAATATCAAGTTGAGGGGCTTTCGATTTGGACAGAAACGGTTTGTTATCATCAGCGAATTGTATAACAAAAGCCACAATTAGAGCAGTTCACGTATGCATTAGGCACTGAATTATTGATCGTGACACAAGTCCTCAATTTATTAGTCATCAATCACAATAATAAATATTACATCTTGAGTTGAAAAGATAAACCAATGCTAAAACCAATTATGCAAATAATTCTTTAACCAATCTTAAAACAATATTTTCTTAGTACCCTTCCAAGAAACTATGTTTCTCATTTGCATAGGATTGTAATTTATGCACTCTACATTCAAATTTACGACTGATTCTTTTGGGTCAATTAGGATTTCCATAATAAATGGACGCAGGTCAACTCGAGTTATGACTGAAAGACATAAATTTGCAATACAAATTTCCATTTATTGCTTAATTACGGTAAAAGATACTGAAACAGACAGGTTGGCAAAATGATCTCCATATGCCGAATATAATAAAAAGAACATTTTATTATTCAATTTCTATATAAAATACTCTTAAATACTACTTATAAACATGTTCTGGATTATTTGCAATTTGTTTAATTTATTCTATTTTTTTATTTATATTTTTTATTTTCAAACAAATGACTTCATTACTAAAGTGAACAGATCTATAAACTTGTTTTTATCGTAACATAAAATTATATTTTTGAAGGCAAAACCCTTGAAATACGATAAACTAGTCTCCAAGACGTAATCTAGATTGTGGTTTGTGTACTCGCTAAGCAGACCTGATCTGTTCTGCGAGTACCCGCTAGGTGTCGCTGGAATAAATAGACATAGCTACAAATATTACGAAATTATTGCATTATTTAATTTTTGTGGAAACCATTTAAAAAAATATTTAAATTATAGGTATTTTTATGGTATCAGCAGATTAATTGTTACATTCGTTTAAGAAGCCATTTAATATCGTACCTAAAAATTGGGTCTACAAACAGCTGAGATCCAATAAATGGGCAACTTTTTTTGCATTGCACTTTGGACAACATAATTTAATTGTTTTGCTATTAAGCCGCAAAAATGGGACAGACTGCATGGTGACAGCAATTTTTTCCATACTAGGTGATAATCGTCTGATTGTTTCTTGTTTTCGCCCAGTTTAACTTGCTTGCTATGTGATGGCACTGCATTTCTCGAAGCATATGTAGAAAATGCAGAGTTTTGATTAAGTAAACGCAAGACGCTATAAGAATGCCACTCTTGGTTCCCAAATCGACAGTTGTAAAACACTTTGTTCAGCATGAAGATCGTCGCTTTCACCCTCGTTGCGTTTGTGGCCCTTGCCGGTGCTTCCTGCCCGTATGCAGCTCCAGCTGTAGCGCCCGCTGCTGCGCCTGGCTATCCGGCACCACCCTGCCCCACCAACTACCTGTTCAGCTGCCAGCCCAATCTGGCCCCAGTTCCCTGTGCCCAGCAGGCCCCAGCCTACGGATCCGCCGGCGCCTACACGGAGCAGGTGCCCCGCTACGTGGAAAATCCCAGCCGGGAGCAGCTGCAGCGGTTCCACCAGCGCGTTGGAATGGCGGCTTTGATGGAGGAACTGCGCGGCTTGGGCCAGGGAATCCAGGGCCAACAGTACTAGTGGCAAAACAATTTAAAGTGAAAAGCGCTTATGAATTTAAACCGTCTATGCTGTAATTGCACGTCATACTTTGGAATTAAACTGCTTTGAAAACTCATGATTTTGTGGAAAAGTGCACTTTTATGTAGAAGAAAAAGCGCTTGGGGATGAGCAAAACTGGTGAAAAGAATTTGATTCATCCAGTCCTAGAACTTATCTGTTCCTAAGCAAAGCCAAAAGTTTTCTTTTAATAAATCTTATAGATTTTCAACTTAGTTTTTCTGATTTATGGCTCTGCGCTCACATTGCTTTCAAACGCCAAAAAGAACATGTGAAAAACCGGCATACGACTGTCAGCTAGTCGTCCGTATTTATATATTATTACTGCAGCCGTCATAAAACGGATTATTGCAAGCCATTTTCCGAGCGATTCACCTCCTGAATTTGCCCATTACTAGATGATTCTCAGAGATCGTCTCCGTTGGATTTTTTCTCTTCATTTTTGTCAATGGATGCGGCGGGTGCCAAAAATATTGTCAGTCCAAATCGCTGTCTTGTGCGGTCGGTCGCATTCCCAGCCGTCTCCACCGCGAACCGCTTGGATCTGCTCCACATTGCTTAGCCAAAGTGGATCACGCCCTCGGCACATAAGGCCCATCAGGCATATAGATTCCAGCAGGATGGCGTTGCCCTCGTTCAAATCGCTGCCATGTGACGGGCTCTAAGTCCCATAGCCCCAATTGTGACCCAATTCGATGAGCAAAAGTGTGTGTGTGTGTGTGCGCGGGGCTCTTGGCCATTTAACGATTAGTGGCCATAACGGCAAAGTGTTTGTTTATTTTGTTGTGCGGCCGCAGAAACGATTCCAAAAATGATTGCATAATTGACTTTTGGGGGGACAAATCGCGCGACACGCTCAGCATACATTTCGATTTGTGTTCCTATTTCACTTGTGATTCCAATACAATTCATGAGCCATGAAGAAGCTTCACCTGGGCGCCAAGCACAAGGGCAAGTCCTACAAGCCCTTCAGGAACAAGAACCGTCGGGTGAGTGGAAGTAATGGATCTTACCCCCTATTCAAATGTGCCCCCGGGCCCGGGCGGAATCCGTATATTTTTATCCACTCGATCGCTCGCAGACTGCTCGCCCAGCTTGTCAGGCTATTCGCGACCATTTAAATACACACACACGGAGTGAATACAGTGCGTATCAGAATGTAGTGGCAACGGGGCGGATGAGTGATTGCCCCAAGACAATGGTTGCGAGATTAGTCATACGCCTAGTTGTCTTCAGCCAGAAACAAAACAAAACAGTGCACTAGCCTGGTTTTAATGTATCAAATGTAATGCAAATAACACATATAAAATGTAATGTATATTTGTTTTAAGTGATCTGTTACTTATAATCTATAACCTGTCGCTTTGATAATAAAGAAATTCCTGTGAAGTGGTTATCTTAAACGTGGTTGGCGTAGTTTTTCATTTTTATACACGCATATATGTAGGCACACAAATGGTTCTTTGTTATTTAATTTTGATACGCGCTGTATTTCTATGACATCTCGTGCGGTTGTTTTTAAATTTGAATTCTCTTAGCTCTCCCACTGCCAATTTGGGGGCCAAAGAGGCTATCACACCTCTTACTCATCCGCGAATTCTGCATAGTTGTAAGCATAGTCAATGTTGATACACTCTAGTTGCACTTTTGTTCGATTTCAATTTCTGAAATTGTGTACGTTGCAATTAGATTAGAAACACTTTTAATAATGCTGTTCTGATTCTCATTCCTTTTAGCATATTTGAATGGAAAATGTAACATAAAATGAGTACTATGATAACCTTTAGTTTGGCAACAGATCAAATTTATTGAAAATCCTAAAATTGAATACATATAAAAGTAGTCACTTGCAAAAGAGCCTAATCACAATTACTAGCACAGATTCCAGGCAGCATTTGTTTAATGCCTAAGGTAATACCTTAACTATTTACCCTCTAATTGCAATTTGAAATCATTATTATTTAAGTCATCTGACGGCGATGCAATGCCAAACGGCAGGGAGGAGCAATTTGCTGACGCGCGGTCAGCGACAGTGCCGGAAAAGTGGGAAACAGTTGGGCTGACCATGAAAATATTTGTCAAGGGGCTGAAGGGGGGAATTTGCACTGGTATCCGAAAGCGGAGCGTTGACCCACCCGCAGAAAAAACTATCCCACGAAGGGGTGGCAGTGGGTGGCTGTGGGTGGCAGTGCGGAGTCGATGGCAACCAAAGTTCATTACTAGCAGTTGGGCACTTTGCCCGCTGCAAAGTATGGTGGGGCTTTTGGCAATCGGCGAAAGGTAAACAAAGAATCGACCCGAGGTGCCCAAACAACACCCCTCTCCACTTCGGCGATTAAGGGGGGGATCCCCCTTTGTTTTACATATTGCCTTTTGGAAATGTGTAAACGCAAATTGGGACCATCGCCCGCGACCTTCCCCGTTAACGGTTAAATGGGGAGAGTCAGAGAATGAGAGTGGAGAAAAATAAATGCCGGCGCATGCGCAGAGCGAAAGTGGAGAATTGCCCTCTGCGCATGCTGCCTCGCTCTCTTGTTCTCTCCTCCGCTTCCTCTCTCGCATCCTGTCACTTTGAGTGAGGAAATGGATAACGGAATGTTTACGTTATGGGCACAGTGTCGAAACTAAAGCGAAAAAAATCTTCTTTTTAATTCTCATTTAACGATCATTTGGAACGTGTTTGCAAAATGAGTTCATTTTTATCGCTTTTTTTATATAGTAAATATAAATAAAACTACTCTATTTCTTTCTAAAACATAGAATTTTTTTAGTTTTGTTGAAATCAAAATATTCAACAAACATGTTAAAATTTGTGACACTAAAACTTGTTTGAAAAGCCCACTTTGACAAATAGAAAGTTATATTAACATAATACTTTTTATGTTTGAAATTAAATAAGATTAAATAAGAGATATATTACATTAAGGTTAGATTAAATTAAATTTCATATTCACCAATCCTAGGCTGTTCCTACATGCTTCGAATGACTTAGAACATTGGTCCAATTTGTGCATGTTTGAGAGACCTGCGACCAACAGCTGTAACCCTTTTCATTTGGAGCTTTTGGCGCTCGCAGACAATTATCGGGGTTGCCAACAGGTGGACCGCCACTACCCCGTTGCCCCTCCCCCCTCGAGAAGTGCGGGTGCTATCGATTTTCCAGGCACACCACTGACCGCCGATGACAGCGCGCTCATTTCGATGGAGATTGCGGGGGGCGCAAGACCCCACCCCTCTCCCAATTCAGCACAAGCAACTCCAGTCGCACAGTGGCACGAGTCAGCGGCATATGCACTTGAAAATCAATTTTGTTTACATTCACGGGCTACTGCTTATGATGGTGTGCGTGCGGGAATGCTCACACAAGCATGTATATAAATACATATCCCGAAACGAGTGGAGCATTTACGCACTGGAAGCGAACGAGAAAACTCTACACAATTTTTCCAGTGCGGAGCGGACTTTTCGCCTTCCAAATACAGAAACGATTCAGTTTGCGTGCGGAGTAGAACCGTTTGAATGTCGGAAAGGCGAATCGAAATCAAAGGATGTGAATCGAGTGAAATCCTGTAAAAGATAACCCGCGAATCGGTTGAGGATAAAGCCAGGTCAAAGGGTACGAAATCGGAAGGAGTCGGTTGGTTCTCGCAACAAAGAAAGTTTGAAAAACACACCGCCACGTTCAACAGAAATCAGTTTTCGCGACCTATGTGTACCACCCCCCGCCCGAGTTTTCCAGCACATTTCGTGTGCATATACTAGAAAGGAACAAAAAAAAGTGATGTGAGCAAAGAACCGCGACCCGACGCCACTGACATAAATTCCTATTTTTAACTTTCCTGGGGCCAAAAATCCCCATTGATGCGGAATTAATTTCGATCCGATTCGCCAGTCGTATGCAAATTGTGCTGAAATTAAGGCGAGAAAAGGCTGCGGAAATCCCTTCCAGTTAACAATTTAAAGTTATATCGCCTGTGGCTTCCAAACCGTTTGACAATCGCAATCGCCTCTCTCTCGCTTGCTCCCTCTCCCTCTATCACTCTCTCTCTGTTTCACGCACACTTGGTAACGGTGTTTTTATGTCAGTGTCAAAATCGAATTCCGCCTGACCCGATGGTTAAAATAGTTAAACAAAGTATATTGCCAATGCCAGTGTTAATCATAGAAGAAAAGTGCAACAATAAAACTCAAAATCCTGCCAAATAAAGTGTAATATTCTATAGAAATTTTGTATACCAACCGAATCGTAGTGCTTTTATAGTCTTTTTACAACTCCAAATCCAGTTGGTTTCATAAAGTGTTAAGTGCGCCGAAACGCGGGTATTCCCCCGAATTAGTACAAACCAACTAGAAAGCCAACTCCAAACTCACCGCATAGGACCGTATAGGTCTGAAAGTAGTCGTGGAATACGGATACGTAATCATTGCCAGTTCAACGCGTTGCCAGCCACCGCCACCTCCAGCTCCACCTCCGCCACCGCCACCATCACCATCTTCATCAGCATCGCACCATCTGGTGGTGCTGGTGGTGCTGTTGTGCTCGCACAGGATCGTCGGAAACATCGCCAAGATATCTTCGTTCGAGGAAGACTACCGGGCTGACAGGCCCATGGTGCAGCGCGCCTCTTCCTCGGATGCACCCTCCGTTCAGGGTGGCCAACATCGAGAGTCTCGGTTTGGCCTTGGATACCCTTCCTACCAGAATGGATACAACAAACTATTCACACAGGTGCCGCAAACAATAAAACACCAAAGGGGTGGACACCGATCAATGTTCTTTAATGTCTTTATCGACTAAATTTAGTTGGTTAAGTAGGCTTATGTATCCTAAACCATTTGATTTTAGGTACATTCGGAAACCTCTTTCTTAATTGGAAAACCATACCACAGAAATTTGTCTGCTTTGAATTCTAAACTGTTAACCCTTTTTAACTTACGAAAATACCACCAAAGTTCTATAAACAAGTGGATTTTATATGCCGTGCCTCTATATTGCTTAGAAATATCATGCCTGTAATGAAGATACGAATCATGTCCATCGATCGATTAAAAGAATTAACATAGAACGAACCAAATTCACAAAGTACATTATGTACATGAGCTATAATCGCATTATAATAGCTCTTGATTTATGTTAAATTAGTCAGCCAACTGTTGCTTCATGTGAGGCAAAGAGAAATATTGAAAACCATACACGTTTTACTGCATTGTTTGAATATTTGAGTTGAGCTGGATTTTGGCAGCGGGCCAGTTTAATTTACTATGATCATCAGTCTATTCTGACCCAATTTATTTGAATTTTCCAGGGTTCTGCCGACTCGAACTACTCACAACCGTCATCCGATCTGTCGCTAGACGAGGAAAAGGAATCGCTTCGGCGAGAAAAGGAACGTCAGGCCTTAAGCCAGTTGGATAAAGCGAGGGTGAGTGTCTTCTACACTTTAAAACTTAGCGAACGGAAAATAAAATGTATCTAACTTTAATTTTTAGAGCAAACCAGTGGCGTTCGCTGTGCGAACCAACGTAGCATACGATGGCGCCATCGACGACGATTCGCCGGTGCAGGGCGGAGCAGTTTCGTTCGAGATCCGGGAGTTCCTGCACATCAAAGAGAAGTACGACAATAACTGGTGGATCGGCCGGCTGGTCAAGGAGGGCTGTGATGTGGGCTTCATACCCAGCCCCGCTAAGCTAGACAACATTCGCATGCAGGTTGGACATTCCCCACAGTGTGATCCATGCCAGCGTTAATCTACCAACGAAACCCTCTCTTTGTAGAACCAAACCAGACCCTCAAGACTGTATGGCACAAAGGGCTCGTCGAGCGGGAATCTTGGTGCGGGCGGACAAGCAGGTGCGGAGCCATCTCGAGGTAGCACACCCCCCACACCTGGTATGACACACATTTCATTCTCCTGATTTCTTTGGGCGAGGTTTTATTTCGTATCTGTTATATTCTGTGAATCGAATTAATTTCAATCTATATATATTTTTCGCTGTCTTCTATGTAATGTGTTTACTTTTGTAAATCGCCTAAAGCGCCACTCCTTTCGAGGGGCCCAATCTGATCATGAGCATCCATAGGTCCGACTGACGGATGCCGAGCCCGACTCGAGCTGATCGATGTTTATTGTAATTGGACGCGTGTTTTATGATTTTCATTTGAAGCGAACCAAATCAGATTCCAAGCCATAAAAAAATGAAAATGTGGGCCAAGCTAAATTCCCGTAATTTTGTACTTTTGTGTTTGATCTAATTATACATCATGTGACATCCATATCAAACGAGTGCAAGTTAATGCTTACCTTTATCAACGAGTTCACCCGGCAATCCGATGCAAATCGTACCCTAGTTGTGCAAACGGCCCACGTATTGGCCGAGAGCTAGCCCTAGATCCCAGCATGAAAGCCGAATCCTCCAACAGATCGGCCTAGACTGCCTGAACCCCGTTCTAGCCCCAATTCACCACTGTAAACACACAAAAGTACACACCTTACCAGCTTCAATAGCCACGATTTTCTCCGTCCTAGTTTGTCTAAATCAAAGCTCCTCGTTCATGGTCTGCTTGTAAACTAACCAATTAGCCAATGTGAACACTATTAAATGCACTCAAACTCTCTTTTATCTAACACAATCCGGTTAACAACACTAACCAAATGAACAACCACAACGCGACCCAAGATCCCTACAGTACAACACCGCGCAAGAAAAACAAAGGTTTGTCCACGTCTCTCATCAGAACCTCAGAAATCCATTTCAATCGCAAAAGTATCGCTAGCTCTTTCAGTGAGTTTCAGGATTTTACAAAACAAAACATAGCTACTCAAAATATTGGACTAAATAACGAGAAGGAAAAAATTTAAATGATGATACATTATTTTCAGAAAGATAGTTCTCCAAAAGTATGCTACTCAATTGTAGATGATAAATCTTAATTCATTCGAAAGTTAACCAAGTATAACTATAAGCTTATCAAATTTATTAGAACAGATCTAATCAGTTATTATATTTCAACTTTTTAACTGACTAATCAATTTTCGTAAGTAAAATATTATTTTAACTGAATCAATCAGAAAAACTCATTCCAAAATACGTATCATGTGTCCGTAAGATCAAAGACATTAGAATAACAAGATGCGTAAGCTATACTATTTTTTTGTGCTGGCTCCAGGCTCTTTAATTTTAGGGGGAAGTGGAGGAACATGGCGGGACATAACAGGATCTTTGGCATGACATTGAGGGATTTTTGGCGGGACATAGCGGGACATAGCGTGACATGAAGGGACTTGCCGGGACATGGCGGGACATAACAGGATCTTTGGCGGAACATAGAGGGACATGACGAGACTTGGCGGATCGATAGTGCAAAACCAATGTATGGCTATTACGGAACTTGTTATTCTAATGTCTTTGGTAAAACCCCGATTTTTGTTGCAAACAATCGCTACATGTGTAAATTGTCCAAAACAAGTTTGACCGTCCTGCTAACCGAAACCCGTGCTTAGTTATAGAAAATTGTGTAAAAAAAGTCGAAGCAAACAGACACTTCATATTCGAGTAGAAATAAGTTAGATAGTTATAGGAAGAAACTTCACCCTCGAGTTGGCATTTTGAACAGCATTAAATGGTGCGTAGACCAGTTGAAAAGAAAAGCAAAAAACGAAATGAAAATTCCAATCAACGTGATATTGCGAACCTGCGGTAGACCGACACAATTGCCCAGCACAAAACACGAGCACACCGAAATCCACGGATCAATTCGAATACACTGTATATACTAACTAACCCAACCACAAGCGTCTTACGTATATACGATAATATCTAAAATTGGCCTAGCAATTCGTACTGATCGATCGCACTGGCTCGTACCAATCATAAGCTCGCTCATCCTTTGCCATTATTTCGTCCTGTTTGCCATGATACTAACGCTCAGGTGACGAATCAGATTCCATGGGACCAGGACGACACGGCAAGACACCGGCGGCGGCGGCCAACAAGGAGAAGCGGAAGCCGTTCTTCAAGAAACAGGAGACGGCCAGTCCCTACGATGTGGTGCCTTCGATGCGTCCCGTCGTCCTAGTGGGGCCCAGTTTGAAGGGCTACGAGGTGACCGACATGATGCAGAAGGCCCTCTTCGACTTCCTCAAGCACCGCTTCGAGGGCCGCATCATCATCACCCGGGTGATGGCCGACATCTCGCTGGCCAAGCGCTCCATCATGAACAATCCCTCGAAGCGGGCCATCATGGAGCGATCCTCCAGCCGGAGCGACTGCCTCGGCAAGGTGCAGGAGGAGATCGAGCGCATCTTCGAGCTGGCCCGCTCGCTCCAGCTGGTCGTGCTCGATTGTGATACAATCAATCATCCGTCACAACTAGCGAAAACTTCATTAGCGCCAACAATAGTGTACTTAAAGATTAGTAGTAGTAAGGTGAGTCTTACAATGTTTATTCCTAATCAGCTTGTTAAAGAATCTGTTGTTCTCCCAGGTTTTACAGCGTTTGATCAAATCACGTGGCAAGTCGCAGGCGAAAAACCTCTCCGTTCAAATGGTTGCCGCCGAGAAGCTAGCCCAATGTCCACCGGATATGTTCGATGTAATCCTAGACGAGAATCAGCTGGAAGACGCCTGCGAGCACATTGCCGAGTACTTAGAGGTGGGTTTAAGTCGAGATCGGGCTTAAGTAAAAGAGACGAAATACAAGAGACGTTTAGAGGAGATATTTAGAATGGTGGTCAGGAAAAATGATGCATTTCTTTAAATATTACGTATACGCACAATGGGTTGAACAGAAGTTCTTTCACATAGTAAACATAGAAGTAGTTAAGTCTTTGCATAGCTCAATTATAATACTTTGTGAGACCAGGAAATGTATCTATTTATATATACATAGCACATTCCCATATTTGGAGCTAATCTATGATGTCTTGCAGACGTACTGGAAGGCCACCCACCCGGACATTCGAGCCGTGCCGCCCATCGCCCGCCCCCTGCCGCAGGAGGCCTCGCCCTCCGCAGATCCCGCGCGTCTGGGACCGACGCCTCCAGGTAAAGGAACACCTGCCCACTCGAACGGGCTCATCCACGGTCGCATTGCCATTTTCATACGCGCGATTCCACCAAAGTCCTCGCCCATGCCCAAGAAACAGCGAAATTTCAATCAAACCAATATCAATATCGATATCGAAATCAGAGTCACCCATTGCCTCACCTCCCCAATTCAAACGAAATCGATCCGACGACCCATTAAGAACACATATCAGCGCATGTGTATACATACTCGTAGCGATGGATATGTATGCACATCGGATCAGCAGTAAACAATTTTCATTTGCTTCTCAACATACTCAACACACTTATACAAAATACAATTCTAAAATTTGTCTTTTTCAAATTCAAATTCCCATGACTGTACCAAATAAACCAATCGATCCTCCTTCTGGCTCTCTCTCCCCGTTTTCCTCCGCGTGATGCACGTGGTTCACTTCGTTCACTTGGGGCACGGCGTGATGAGCAGTAGATGGCGAGGAGTTTGTCGATGAGCAGGATCCCAGGATGGGCATGTCCGGCGGAGATCGCGAGGGAAGCCGGGAGCGGGACCGCGATAGCAGGGAGAGGGAGAGGGAGCGCGAACGGGAGCGGGATTACTGGGATCGGGAGTTCAACAGAGATCGCAGCTCCAAGGACCGCGAAAGGGACCTCGAGTGGGAGCGGGAGCGGGCTCGCGAGTGGGAGAGAGAGCGGGAACGAGATTGGGATAGGGAGTTCGATTGGGACCAAGGTAAATTTCGTTTATACTGTTTCTTTTCGTTTGTTTCCTTTTGTACCGATAATATCTACGTAAGCTCATTAAGTATCACAACCAGCGCCCAGAAATCGAAATCGAGTCAAAGGGCCCATAGCTGAAGTTTGGCTAGAACCACCACGTCCCAAGTTATAAGCCAGTTGAAGATGTAGCCCATTGTAGCCCAGTAGGTTAATGGTAGCTTCGGCACCAGTCCACATCTCCACCCATATCGATTGTAGCTGCGCCCATGGCATTTGCTTAGAACTCCCGCTTTCTAGACACATTTTGTACATATAGCTCAGAATCAAAACCACTGGTATCCTCAACTTTTCGTTTATTTTCTATCGTTTCTATTTTGTGACCACACTTTGCAGCATTCACAGCACGCGACATACCCGGTCCCTTTACAACAATGCTATAGATCAAAACGAGTTCCAATCCAAATCAGCCACCACGACCAACACAACTGCGACATCAACAGTACAAAATGCCAAAGACAATTGAACCCGAATTGAAATTGAAATTGATATTGAAAACCAAAAGCAAAACCAAATCAACTGGAACTAGCACAAGCACCCACCGACCGACATCTCCGACGATCTCCACCAGTCAAGACTTCCAAGCAATCCATGTGATGAGGTGTGCGCACACCCTCGAGATTAAACAACCCACCGATTGCCCACTAATGTTAGCTGACTACCTTTCTGCCGTTTGAGTTCTACTAACCGATTTAGCCGAACTGCACGCACTGCAATCGTAGAGCCCCACGAACTGCCAGCTTTCTCAAGCATCCGCCATCAATCAATCCAATCGAGCTAATCGATCACCCATTCGAATAATTGTTTTCCAATCGTGCCTTTTACCGACTGACCTCTGTACTTGTTTTTAGTTACACCGGGCGTTGTGCGCCTGTAAGCCGCCGCAATCCGCGCCAAGCCCTTCTACTCGAATTCTCACATTCTTCCGGGTGTTTTCCTAGATCAGCTCAACTCAACCCAAATCAGCTCAGTTATAATATTTATATATGTGTACATGTATTCCGTTGTTGTCGAACCTTATGTTTTCACCATTTCAAGTTGCAAAACCAAATCATCCAATCGTTTAGATCTGGTTTAGTGAGTACCGAAACCCCTAAGATGTGTTTGCGTTACATTATTTTTGAGCGATTTTTCCTATTCCATTTAGTTAGTTATAACTGTCCCCCGAAATTATCCTCGTTTTCCCAAATGTACTATGCATAACTGACGCTAGGTTTCGATCATCTGCTGACTTTATTTCTTCCTATTTTCAGCGTTTTAAAGTATTGTTTGTTACTCCTTGCAGGTTTAACCAAATGTCCTATTTATTACTAACATTTTAGAGTTACATGTTAATTAACAAAAGAATAGCTGAACAAATGCCAACATTTGTTCAATAGATGCTCCATATATTACATAGAAAAGTTACCAGGTAGTAAACCTCATACATAGTTCCTTAAATAATGTACTTTCTTTTAAATTAAATTGCATTTTCTAAATAATGATATAGATCCAAATATAGCTGAAAACTATTACAAAGCCAAACGTATTTAATATACCAATCTTATAAAGCCTTCATCGGTTCGTTTTAGGAGTATATTCCTCTGTAAAGTAACTGAACGCAAAATCCCAAATGACCAATCTCCGGCAACGGAGACCAAAGGCCTGATGCCAACTTTTCGCCTATTGACCCTTTTTTGAATGCTTTAGTTCTGGTTCTGTTTTCCGTTTTTCGTTACCCTTAAATACATCTGCGAGTCAACAATTTGTACTAACATATTGCCGTGTTGGGCGTTTTGCAGGAGGAACCTCTTACCAGCACAGCCGCCGACAACCGACCTCGGTTCGCCACCAGGAGCGCGGCGGAGGAGTGGGCGCAGGCGGCGGAGGAGGAGGAGGAGGCGTCGGCGGTGGCTACGAGCGGGACCGCGAACGGGAGCGGTACGAGCGGCGCGAGCGGGACCTCATGCACTACGATCTCAATAGCGACGAGCTGCTGGACGAGCGCAACTTTGAGTATCCGGCGATGAGGAGCGGCCCCAGCGGCGCCTCCCACCACGGCCATCTGTCCAGGGGCGGACGCCTGCTGGAGGATCCGGACTTTGAGCGCGAGGAGGCCCAGATGCGGATGAGCAGCTCACGCTACGGACCCTCGACCAGGATCGACGACCCACGGGATCTGCCGCGTGGCGCCACCGTTGTCGATCGCGATGAATACAGTCCGCACAGAGGTGGTGGGAGTAGTAGGAGAATGCTTAATGCCATGTAGGAATCGTGGATATAGGGGTGGGATCAGATCGATGCGAGAGTGCCAGGTTTGAAGGAAGCACGCGACAATAGTTTTGATCTTGACATGATACACCACCAGCCTCAGTCTCAGTCTCAGTCTCAATCTCAGTCACAATCACAATCACAGTCCAGGTCCAGGTCCAGGCCGTTGGGCCTGCCCCGCCAGTCCTCCCTGCCCAGTAACAGAGCACCCGTGTCGTACCTGCCACGCCAGTCCTCCCTGGGCACCCACTGGCTATCCTCCTCCTCGCAGAGCAGCCTGGATCAAGGACCCCAATCTCGCCGAGAGCTTTATCCACTGCTGCATCAGCCGCAGTCTTATTCCCAGCCTCGATCCCAATACACCGCCCACTCGTATACAGCCGCACCACAGCACACCAGTCAGTCGCGTTCCCAGACCCAATCCCAGTCCCACTCTCAGTATCGCTACTCCGTGCAGGACACATCGTTTGCCCACCCGCCAAGATCCCTGCGCGAGGAGTTCCTCAGTCCCACCATGAGCAAGGTCGAAGCTGTCACCCACGCCATTCGCAACAAGATCATCGTGGAGGAGGACGAAGAGGATATCCTGAGCACGGATCGGTTCTATTAAAGAGATTTCAGTCGCCACCCCGCGTCCATTTTGGCTTGGGTAACCTCCTTGCGGGTGGGAGAGCAAGTGCAGCAGTGCCAAAACACACGATACATTTGTAAGTGTTCCATTCGCTGATCGGATCAATTTGGTAGCAACACAGATACAGACACACACAAACAGAAACAGAAACACACACAAAGTAGCTGGTTAAAATTAAAGTGAGCGTTAAAGTGGCGGTTAAAGCAAACGTTAAAGCAAACCAAAGAAAGCAGCCCAATGCCAAGTGGGGCCTTATGTGTCTTAAATGCTATAGCTAAGTGTAATCAGATTTTATTTGAGTAATGTGAATTTAAATTAAATGGTCTAAGCCTAAGATTTAAGCTAGTCGACAGTGGAAAATTAAAAGTTAAAGCAAGGGAGGCCGAAACCACCCAGCAGGATTTGTTGATCGATTGACTAAGTACATGAATAAGTGTCAGCTTTAATAATTTAGTGAACGTGTCTTAATCTAAGTCGAGCCACACAAGCACACCCACACCCACACACTCGACACACACATACACTCACACAAACACCTACACACTCTTAATTGACTGTGAACCGATTGAAATCTCTTTAATCTCAAACCGATACCTATTTCTCGCATCCAGGCGTTTTCCTCCTCATCGCCGAATGGATTCCTTACTGGGAATTGTCTTAGTTGAAAAACTAACACGTACAGTGCGTTTCCAATCATGAGTTGTAATGAATTTATATATCCACATAAAATAATGGATTTAATGTATAGTTTTGGAGTTACCTATTAATTCATTCGAAAGATATCGCTTGATGTTTGAAACTGATTATTTCCTAATTGATGCCTACCACTAAACATACGAGTATATCTATATAGTTCCCCACGTCGAATACTATTCTTTTTAGGTTGTTAAATATACGTAGTATAGATCTTGAATGAAACGCATTGTACAGCAGCCATGTACATGTACTACTTCTACTTCCAACAGCAATACTTTCGACCTAGATACCTTGCCACACCATATCATGCCACACACCTGCCAAAAGCGCACAGTTCGCGAACTCAGTTCAAAACTCAAGTTGGACTGGCCGCGAACAGGCCTGCAACCTGGATGAGGATAGAAAACAGATCCAGGTTTAGGTATAGCGATTTAAACTACCAGTGCCTTATAAACCATCAAATCGAGTTACACAACAGCACTCCACCCCAGAAATTCTGCATTTCCGCCGCCCCATTAGATCATTTTAACTAACTACCAACTACCAATCGCTAAAGTCGAATGCGTCAAAATTATTGTTCAAGTTTTGAGATGTACACGTAATGTTGAGACGATAGTCGTTGATCTGGCCCATTCCGAACGAGCACTCCTTTTACAATTCCAACCACCATGCTAAATTTGTCGATCATTAGTTGTCGAACTGAGCTAGAGCCCAACAATGATGAACCGCACTGCATTCAAATCGATCGCCACCTCGAGTAAGAGTCGATGTCTAGCTAGTTTTGATCTGTAAGCACACCCACAGAACCCATCCTACTGTCCAAGGACTACAGCTGAATCCTGAAGCACGGGGTCAGAGTTTGCAGACAGGTCGGGCCATTTGCCAGAGGCAAAAATCTAGTACTTTTTATATAAGGGATACAAGGTGATATAACTAATTTTCAGAGAGCAAATTTGAACAGCGCACGACAGATACGGATACAGATACAGATACCTAATTGAAATTGTTAGCCACATTCAGCAGGGGGAGGGAGAGGTTGAAAGGTCGGTTGGGACCTTAGCTGGGACCCTTCCCTTAGAGAATTGGATGGGGTTGGCCAAGGCACTGGAGGCGCTTCAACGAGGAACAAATTGAAATTGAAATATAGCGGAAAGCAGCAAACGATACACAAGCACTTCTTGTAAAAAGTGGCAAAGCAAAATGATCTATGTATTAGCTAAACATAAATGAAATATTACTTTTTAATACTAGCATAAAGTTAAAAACAAAACTAGATACGATCCTTTGCAGCTAAGAAGGGGACAAACGGAATACTTAAGTTTAAATGGTCAGTTGATGAGCAGTGTGTACGTTAGAATATTGCACATAATTCACAGAACTGGTAATTCAATATATTATAATGGTATATATTAAAAAAGATACACACATTTAAAGAGCTGCATATATAAATATGTATGTTCTTGCCATAATTAACAAAATTTAAACCGATACACATACATCAGCCAGCATTTTGTAAGCGTGAAACCCAAAAACTAATTAAAATAATATGGATTAAAAATAACTGATTATCCCAGATATTGTTAGATACTTTCTGGCAACGGAAAGGTGAACTTTGCCATGAAAATTTCATCAGATCTGATAGGAATATGTTGAAGATATTTTGTAAGATGCCTTAAATTTCTCAACTCAAGTTCTTTGAAAATTTTCGAAAACTAAACTTGGTAAATTCATATATTCCATTACATAACCTTCTAGCAGACGGACAAAGGTCTGCAGAGAAGAACAACTGGTTTGCTTCAAAAGTATAGCAATTTTTTTGTAATAATAAACTCTTATTTCCGATTATAAAAAACAAATGAAAACAAAAACCAAGCAATTTCAATTTGTTGACACTCTTGAAAACTATAAAAAAAAACACAAACATGCAAACAAGTTTTATAGCAAGCATACTGAAACTTTAAAGATACGCCTATATATAATTAAATTTAGCGGTAATAACTTCTCTACTTTTCAAGCCACTTAAATAAGAAAAGCAAACCTTATTTTTTTAGCCTAAAAACCTTATTGAACTGGAATAGAAGGTGGAAAGATTGACAAGAGCACGCATGAAATTTCCGTAATAAATAAATATTATTAACCAAACATCCCCACACCGAATACCCTGGAAATATAAAATGAACTATTGGTGGAAATATCAACACCGCTCCCAATTTATATAGAATATTTTATACATACAAAACATATACATATTGTAAAAAATGAGAAAACAGTAACTAAAATCCAATCAGCAATTTTCAAAAATTGTATGTAAATAGTTAATGATATTTCAATTTGTTACCTAATTATTTTGTTATCAACTTTGTAAGATTCCTTTAATTTAATGTTAGGGATGAATACCTGCCATCTCCTTGACGACATTTTGTTGTTTTCGTTTTCATTTTCCGCATTCAAATGTTGTTCACAATATGTTTTTGGAAAATACGTAGTTAAATGAAAGCTAAATTGCAAATAAAAGCAAATACAATAAAAATATTAAAAATAAAGCACGTCTTTTCGATAATTCGGTGTGAGCAAATGTGTGGGTAAGTCGTTCTTTTAAACGTTATCTATTTGGAATAACAAAATCAATACTTTATAAATGTAAATAAATGATTTGGGATGGTAAAGTAAAAGTAAATACATAAAATAATATAATATTATAATACCACATTTTGCAAGCTTACAGTTTCCTGAAGACACGAATAAGCAAATTAAGAAATACAATTTTTTTACAAAAGTAAATATTAAAATCATTTTTAATCACAGGGTCGTCCGTGGGTTAAAATTGCTGTTTTGCGGGCAATAATCGAAAACAACTCATACGCACACTCAAAACAACAAATCGCGTGGGGAGAGAGAGAGAACTTGGGGCTCTCCGATCCTCTCAGGCGGTTGGGTTATCACACAGTAAAACAACAACCGGCGAGAGGCATTCAAAGTCAGGTTCGATGGCCCGAGGAACCCGCTCTCGAAGTCAGTTCAATTTGTTGGCTCGGCGGCGCAGATCGTGAGTTGCGGAAAGTAATTAGCAAGAATTAACGCAGTCGAGCAGATTGTGTGTCCAGACTGATCAGTGTAATCACTACCAACCCAAACATGCCCCTCAATATCAGGAAAGTGCTGGTCTGCGATGCTGTGGACAAATCCTGCGTGGAGCTGCTGGAACAGCATGGGATAAAGGTAAGGTTCCCAATCCCCTGACGTGACAGTCGACTATTTGTCGGAGTGAGCGAAAGCTTACACCCATACAAGTGCTCAAAAGTACAGTGCGCCCTCGGACAAAATACAACAAATTACAAAATACAAAATATTTAATTTATTTAATAATACCTACAATGCAATATAATCCATACAATATACATATTCTGTTGAATTTGGCTATCGAGTGCGCACTGTAGGTGCATTTGCAAGCATGTAAAAGTGCTTAGAAGTGGACAAAGAGACAACAGAAGCATTTAATTGATTGCACAATTTAATCAACGTTGTTGACCATATATTCTCCTGCTTTTTTTGACAAGGTTACCTACAAGCTAAAACTCCCCGTGGAGGAACTGTGTCAGGAAGTTAAGGTAAGTGGCTTAGGGATTTCAGCACAGGTAAATTGGCAAGTACATGCATGTACATACGTATGAACGAGATAAGTCGCTTTCGAGTGAAAGCTTTCGAGTGATTCAAGCGTGGCTTTAAAACATGTGCATGAGCTGAGATATGTACATATATATGTAGGTATGCATATATGTTAGTACGCGTGGGAGTTACATAAACTCAATTAGCCTGTGACTAGGCTACAAAGACCATAAACTAGAAAACTATAAACTATCTTATTCTTATATAAATTACTAGTAACTAGTTACTTTTTTAAAACTAATGATAAGGAGTTGACCCCTTTTTTTTAACATAATTGCTATTGAATATAAAGAGACTTTAAAATACAATTTTTTAATAATTTAAGTGAAATAGAATCTTGATGACCATTAAATCATGTTTTTCTAAGCCATTAAGCCTTACAGAATATTTCCTCCCGTTATATCAATAATATAAATAATAACTAGAACAGACTATGTTATGGCTTTTTCATATCAAAATCAATTACTCTCCTAATTTATTTAAATTGGTTTTCTGTTGCTTTCTCAATTAGTTAAACCCATTCATGCCTGCATGGGCACGAATGCATGTTTTGAATTTTGTTTGATTTAGAGACAGATTCTTTTGGCAATGTTATTAGATGGCAAAAAACAAGTTGCAAGGGTCAGAAATTAAGTACTTGACGAAAAAATATTTGCATCGTTCGCAGAGAGAAAATAATTTGGCCAGTCCAACTTGTTTTTATACCCAATACTCGTAGGGTGAATGGTAGGGCATGCTAGATTCGTTGAAAAGTATGTAACAGGTTGAAGATACTATATATATTCTTGATCAGAATCACTGGCCGAGTCCGTCCTTCTGTCCGTATGACGCTGTGATCTCGGGAACTATACAAGTAAGTTGCGGATTTGAGTAAATCTTAGGCAGTACAGTTTGTAACGCCCCACTTTAAAAATTATTTTTATTTTTTTCATTTATTTTTTCGATATGCCAAAAAAATGTTTAAATTTCTTGTTTGCACTCCCAAGCTAAGTAATGGGTAGCTGATAGGCGAGTAGCTCGAATATAGCGTACTCTCGTGTTCATTTTAAACTAAATTTTTAACAACTTTTCGGAATGCAATTTTAAATTTCATTTTACCAAAAAGAAACTATCCCTTTTAAATGGCAATAATCTGCTGTGAATAATTGTGCCAGACATTGTTATCAACGTTTAGTATTATCGGTAGTTCTTATCAAACAGCCGGCAGATCAGACGATGTTGCCTCAACATTAAATAAATTGTTTTCAGTAAGACCGAAAATAACCGGAAAATGTCAAGGGGTTCAATTATCATAACCAGAAGCCTATGCCAGGCGATTGGCTTTAACTTATGATAAAATACAGGTTTAGATGGTATCAATCACGTTTCCAAAAAAAAACTGTAATGTAAACCATCCGCGAAATGAGTTAGGAAATTACATGACAAATATTTACATTTACCCAGTTGCTAATTATTAAATTACACCGCATTTCAGAACTTCGACGCAGCCATCGTTCGCTCGGATACCAAAATAACCGCGGAAGTTTTGGCCGCCGGATCCGGCAGTCTGAAGGTCGTTGGCCGGGCGGGGGCGGGTGTTGACAACATCGATGTTCCCGCAGCCACGGCCCAAAATGTCGTTGTCCTGAAGTAAGTGCTCCATAATCCCGCGGTGCATTGAACACACGAACACTAAGCCAAAATAGCAACTCATTTTTGAAGTTGAAAGTCTGAAAGTACTTATTTTATGCTCAATTGGAGTTATTTCAATGTAATAAATTCCATGGATATTTTTCCACTCGTTTGTATACCATGCTGATAAAATTTGAATCCATTTGCGGCTCCGATATCATTTGTTTTGGAATTTTACATTGTTTCTGATTTATGAAAGTATAATAATAATTAGTTGATAATAATCATCAATTACCAGAAAACATGAGGCTTCGAATACATTACCATTCATTAATTCGGTATGAATAGGTTAAACACAGTTCATAAATGGGGTATACAAACTGCAGTGTTTATGGTGTGAACCATAGAGTAATCTCCGATGGCGCAGCGCCCAAATAATTATGCGCATTCCGAATCGCAGGATTGGCAGCTGATATGGCACCCCAGCCCAGAATAGCCATGACTTGGGTCAATTGACGCCGTTTGACACGCATAATTAGGGGACGGCGAGTGTCGACGGAGGGTTTTGGGTGGTTTGGCCTGGAATACTGGTAGCCAAGCGCGAAAATGGCCATATTTCCCTGCTCTCATCCAATTCTTTTTCGGCGGAATTTGCATAATGCTGTCTAGTCACAACAAACGCCACCCATTTTGCCACCAGAAACGCCCAACTCAGCGCAACAGCGAGTGTCTTTTGTGGCATTTAGGGAATGTTTAACTAAACTCTCGTCGCTTTCAGCACTCCGGGTGGCAATTCCATTTCGGCCTGTGAGCTGACGTGCATCCTAATTGGCTCCCTGGCCCGTCCCGTCGTCCCCGCTGGCCAGAGCATGAAGGAGGGTCGCTGGGACAGGAAGCTCTATGCCGGCACGGAGCTGTATGGAAAAACCCTGGCCGTGCTCGGACTAGGACGCATTGGGCGCGAGGTCGCCATTCGGATGAAGACCTGGGGCATGCGGGTGCGTTCGGATGGGGTATTTACCTACTGTGGAATTTTAATCGAACCCTGAGTGCTTTGCAGATTATTGGCTACGATCCCATCACCACGGAGGCGGAGGCCCAGGCGGCGGGCATCGAGAAGATGACGCTGGAGGAGATTTGGCCACTGGCGGACTACATAACCGTGCACACGCCCCTGATTCCAGCCACCAGAAGTAAGTTGGCGCATTAATACGTAAATTGCTGAATATATGTAGATACTCGTAGCTCTTCCTATTGATCTGGTTACATTTCCCGAGTGATTTACATTTAAGATTTCCTTGCTTATTCCATTAGACCTCATATCGACGGAGACACTGGCCAAGTGCAAACAGGGCGTCAAGGTGGTGAATGTGGCCCGAGGCGGCATCATCGACGAGCAGGCCGTGCTCGATGGCCTTGAGAGCGGCAAAGTGGCCGGCGCGGCCTTCGACGTTTATCCCGAGGAGCCACCAAAGTCTGCGGTCACCAAGGCCCTCATCAGTCATCCCAAGGTGGTGGCCACGCCGCATCTGGGCGCGAGCACCTCGGAGGCGCAGGTCCGCGTCGCCGTGGAGGTGGCGGAGCAGTTCA